AATTTTTTTAATTAAAAGAATATTGCATCCTTGTATTGAGATACTCCACTAGAAGACATTTGTTCTCACAGCAGTCTACATCACTGTATCTCAGTATGCTCCCCAATGCTGTGCACATAGTAAAAAGGTAATAAGCATTTATTAAATGAATATAAGAGTGAGGCACTGTGTGAAGAGGTCAGCTATGGTTCAGCTCCCTAGGACAGTGGTTAGGGTACCAGCCACAGGGGCTGGCATATTCAAACCTGGCTCAGGCCTGCTAAACAATGACAACTGAAACAAAAAAAAATAGCAGGCATTGTGGTGGATGCCTGTAGTCCCAGCTACTTGGGAGGCTGAGGCAAAAGAATTGCTTAAGCCCAAGAGTTTGAGGTTGCTGTGAGCTATGACGCCATAGCACTACCCAGGGCGAATAGTGAGACTGTCTCAAAAAGGAAAAAAAGTCAGATATGAATAAGATAATAAAGAAATGCACTTTTGGCTCGGCACCTGTGGCTCAAGTGGCTAAGGCACCAACCACATACACCTAAGGTGGTGGGTTCGAATCCAGCCCCAGCCCACCAAAACAACAATGATGGCTGCAACCAAAAAATACCCAGGCATTGTGGCAGGTGCCTGTGGTCCCAGCTACCTGGGAGGTTGATGCAGGAGACTCACTTGAGCCCAGGAGTTGGAGGTTGCTGTGAGCTGTGATGTCACAGCACTCTACCCAGGGGGATAGCTTGAGGCTCTGTAAAAAAAAAAAAAAAAAGAAAGAAAAAAATGCACTTTTAAAAGAAGTTTGCCAAGTGTGAATAAATGTCTAATGGAATAGCATGGTCCCAGAAAGGGAATATCTGAGTTTATATTAAGGGTTTGGATGTATCATATTTAACATGGTGGTTGTAAGCCAAATGACCAAAAAGTTTATAATATTGATATTTCTACCCCATTTGTTTTATTTTATTTATTTATTTATTTACAGATGGCCTGTTCAATTCCACAACAAATTTTAATAAGGGAAATTAAAAATTCAGGAACAAGACTTATGCACAGAAATGCATGACTTAGGTGCTCGTGGTTGAATCCTTCTGTGCAGTCATATGCTAAGATATTATTCCATGAGCACCACTGAATGAAAGGAGCTATTTTGCCACTGAAGAAGAGATCCTTTACATACCATGCCCCCACTTCTAGCAGTCACTTTTATAACCAGCTATTCAGAAAATGTGCTATCAATAATCTTACATGACACAATATGGTAAGAAAAGATGAATAAACAAAACCACACACATGTGTTTACATTACTCAGATTAGAGCATAATTAATATCTTGGGATGCTTCCTCCTCCTAAATTAATATTTAGAACTGCTCTGATTAGTTCTCCTCTGTACTGAGCAAGCCTGTGTTGGGAAGGATATGTAGAAGGGGCCCTTTTGTGCACTGCTGTAGGAAATGTAAATTAGTGCAGGGGCATTGGAGATGGGTTCATTGATATCTCATCAAACTGAAGATCTTCTTCCTCCATAAACCAACCATTGTATTTGTGAATATATACCTTCAAAGGGCTGCTACACGTGTGCATAAGAGCCATTTGGAAACAACTTAGTTAGCCATTTAAAGGGCAATGATAAAAAAAAAAAAAAGGTTTTCATTATATTCTAAAAATGGACTAACATACAATGATTGAAAAAATGTAATTTTACACATCATCATGAATTTTTAAAAAATATAGTTTTAAGTGAGTAAAATGTGCTTTGAATCATACCTATTTGACTTATTACATAAATCAAAGACCAAGCAATCCTCTCTCATTCCATGTATATTTTCATATGTCTGTCTGTATGTGTGTATATATGAGCATGTAATTTTTAGAGACACATATTTTTTATAGTAAAACCAGAGGCAGAATATCCATAATGGAGCATTCCCAAAGCCATTTCAACCCAGCCCTCAGTTCTACCCCAGACCTTTGGGATCACGTTTTACTCCATTCTCCATTCTACAACATACATGTATTACCATTTTTGCTTTGTTTTGTTTTACGAGACATTTCTGTCACTGTATAGATTTAAATAAATTGACAGTCTCTCCATCGTAATGAGAGAAACTATTTGATGAACCCTTCAGTCATGAAAGTGTAAGTCCTGTACTAACCATTGGATACTGGGTCCAATCTGAACCTTGATACTACAAGAATGGACAGTCCTTCTGCAACATCTGTCACGTGTCCTAGAAATAGGTCATGGGCAGAGAGAAATAGTGCAAATTATGGTGAATATTTTTCATTTCCTCTTGGCTAGAACTGAAGAAAAGGGGGTTACAAGAGGCTCTTCTTTGAGGAGGGACAGGATTGTAAAGATAGAAATCCTGAGTGGGTGAACAAGCCCACGCCTCAGAGCAGTAGACCAGAGACGGACCCTTCCCAGAGTGTGCTGGTAGAGGAAAGGATCACCGGCCCTAGGGTTTCTGATATTAATGTTCAAGTTTTCTATCTTGGGTGGCAATCCCTCTATGTGATCTCAAGTCTTGGGTTCCATTAGACAGGCCCACCTTGTCTTGGCTCTGTTGCATGGAATCGAGTGAGGGGCAGCCTGATGACAAAGTGGAAACTGGTGCTTCTTAAAAAGTCAGAGCACAGAGCTGAGAGGATGGATGGTGTGACCATCTCAAGTGATAATAGTGGTCCTGGTTCTTCGGTGAAGGAGAAGAAGAATTTTGCAGCCCCCCAAACTGCAGCCTGATGGCAAAGTGGAAACTAATGCTTCTTAAAAAGTCAGAGCATAGAGCTGAGAGGGTGGATGGTGTGACCATCTCAAGTAATAATAGTGGTCCTGGTTTTTCTGTGAAGGAAGCAGGTATTCAAAGACATGATCTTAGCACTGTGATGGCAAAATTAAATGGCAGCTGCATTAGCTTCAGGAGAGCAGATGGGGCCAGTTTGTGGAGAAGTGTCTCCTGGAGTCATGATATTAGGACACTTAAAACATGTGATGGTTGCATTAAGAAGGGTTTGTGAACTTCTCCTTTAAAAAGTCTGAGAAACAAAAAGGAACGAAGGGAAAGGAGACCTCAGGTTGGTAAATGCTGAGCCTTTAAAAAGAAGTACAATGTTGGTACAGTTTTGAGCAACACGGAGAGAAGGCCCAGGGAAGAAATAGACAGTGATTCACCTTACCAACAGTCTCCCCGAGCTGGGGGGCCTGGAGAGTCTGTCCTGCAGATTAAATATTGAAAGATTCCCTCAGTCTGTTATATGGCCATGTGTAAATCCATAGATGGTGGGCCTTGTATATGTCAAATATTTTTATTTCATTTAGATTTTTATTTTTATTCCAAAATTGGTATTCTGTAGAACCGTCAAAAAAAAAAAAATTTTTTTTTTTTGAGACAGAGCCTCAAGCTGTCACCCTGGGTAGACTGCTGTGATATCACAGCTCACAGCAACCTCCAACTCCTGGGCTTAAGTGAGTCTCCTACCTCCACCTCCTAAGTAGCTGGGACCACAGGCACTTGCCACAACACTTGGCTATTTTTTGGTTGCAGCCGTTGTTGTTTGGCAGGCCCAGGCTGGATTTGAACCTGCCACCTTAGGTGTATGTGGCTGGCACCTTAGCCACTTGAGCCACAGGTGCTGAGCCGGAACAGTCAAAATTAACTGGCCATTTGTGACCATAACATAAAATATCTTGTTTGATAGTGTTACTAATTTATTTGGATTAAAGTTTTTCTCAATGCATGTGACCAACATCAAGAAATTTAAGCAATATCAAAAAATTAAAAAGAAATTTAGGAAATGTAATTTAAATAAAAAATTCTAATCATATTTATACATCGTTTCTGTAAAATGACAACTTAAACAATAGCAGCTTTTGACTCCAAAAAAAAAAAAAAAACCCAAAAACCTGCTCTTTGTCAAACAAAATTTTGAACTTTTGGCAATCTATAGTCTTTGAGGTTGGTTTCATAATTTTTCCTCACAATCTAGACATTCTAGACCACTTAAGTATTTTTAGAAGTAGACAGCAGTTGCTGATAATGCAATGTATCCTTCACGTTCAAGTTCCTTCATGTTCAACCTTTACAAATCATATTACTTAAGGCAATTGACTTGGTGAGCAAAATCTCCATGCTCCCCCAGGCAGCTGGGTTTAGAAATATGGACTGTCTAGTCAAGGCAATGGCGTTTTTATTTTTTCTTTGTATTAAATGTAGTGAAATGTCACATGTAAGTTTTGATTAGCTTTGCAAGGTTATTGAGGATTTGCATTTACCAATGCTTTTGATTAATTAAATCCAATTAAAAATGAAAATATTTCTTTATATTATAGTAGAGAATGCATTCTCTTCTCATTTGTTTGTTTTGGAGTAAGGGGATGGAGAGAAATCCTGAGAGAAAAATAAGAATAAGGGTGTGCAAATATTTTTAACAAGTAAGAATTATATTTAAAACTGTGAAAAACTTACACATGGGCGGTGCCCGCAGTTCAGTGGGTAGAGTGTCAGCCACATACACCGAGGCTGGCAGGTTCGAACTCATCCTGGACCAACTAAAATCAATAATGACAACTACAACAACAACAAATTTACACATAATAGAATGTTTCATCAAAGACTCTGGCAAGGATAATTTCTAAAAACTAGAATATTTCTGATATAGTAGTGAATGCAAAAGTGTATATTCTAAGGGGAAAAAAAGCAACGACATGCAAATAAGAATCTTTAAGTGAATGCGGTGTGCTTTCCTCTCTGGTTCTTATGATTTTTCTATTGTTTTGTCAGCTACCAAAGTTACACGAAGGTTTCTGAGTATCAGTGTTTACCTTTGTGATAGTTGCATCTCCCTCTGTTGTCCAAACTGATAAAATCCAGCACTCTGGAAACAGCCAGGCATCCTCCCTCTGCTGTTTGTGAGCCGACATGAGGTAGACAGACACCTTCTCAAGTTTGACGCACGCTGTGTTTTCTCTCCCGGCTGCAGCAGGAAAGCCTTTTTTGTGTTTTAACCTGGCTGCCTTTGAAGAAGTGCTTCTGACCTCTCCATGGCCTCTAAAGGTAAGAAGAAATAGAACCACCTCCTACAATTTTCCTGACAGTCTGACTGAAAATATACAGGCGTAGGGGTGTTCGAGTCAGGAAGACTGGTACTTTTTAAGCTGCCATTTCTCCTCCGAACACGGGAACTTTAAAATTTTAAATCCAAGAAACATGTTGCATTACACCAAAAAGAAAAAACACCCACTCTGTCTGGTGGAATGTGCCAGTTCAGATGTAAACAATGCTTCAGTTGTCATGAACATAAACTTAGTGACCTAATAAGAAAAGCTTAATAGCCAAATTTAAAATGAGGATGTTTCATGTCAAACACAGGACAGGGTGATAGTCCAGATTTAAAGAGATTTGATAAAAACTTTTCACACATAATTTAGAAAGCGTTAAAGTTCTCTTGGAGAGAGGGAGTTACTAAGGTTTGTCTTAAGTCTCTAAACACATAGGAATATCATTACTGATGTATTTAAGGGATTTCTCAAAAAAATAAGAGATACAGTTGCTTTTTAAGATGATACACTACAATCTCACTAAAAAAAATTGTGCATCTTATGTAAAAATTAAGATTATATGCTTGCATTTCATTTTCAGTAGAAATCATTGAAGTCTAAGCTATAATGAAAAGTTTTAGCATGAAGAATGATGATTAGTAGAATTGATGGAAACCTTTTAATTTAATTATATATAGGATCATATAGTTCCTCAATTTGTAGTATTTTAAATTCAATGAATGGTCCATTGAAAAAATGTGTATGCTTACTTATACCCTTTATCAAAACACACCTTGGGGCACCATTTAGTATGAAACAAATGAAGAAGTCTTTTCATTTTTCATCGACATTGGACATAGACCAGTTATCTGAGCATCAGTAAGAAAGTTTAACTTGTAAAATATATACGTGAACCAGCAAAATCCATGCATTTCAGTATATGTATACTTCATTTTTTATATCCAAAGACAAATAAACAAAAATCCCTGCCAAGTCTTTTCTTTCCTTTAAGACTGATTCTTATACTCAGTCCAGAATACTTCATCACTTCATAAAACAAGAGTGAACAGCAACCCTGAAGCCTGTAAGGTAAAGAGCTGGAGACGGTGTAAAATATTTATAAGCTAGTTATACATTTTTAAAAGAGTAGATAGAAATTCAAAGCCAGATAGAAATTCAAAGGTGTTTCTTCTTCATCTGGTGGTCTGAGTCTTTGAAGAAACTTGTGACTAGAAAGCATTACGATCAAAATATGATTAATCTACCAAAAAAGTAGTGCTGTTCAGTGATGATTAAGGACTAAACTTGGAGGCAAAACTTCAGATGGAAAACTGACACTCCTGTAACTTCCTCAAGATGTTCTAAGACATGGAGTGGATAAAACCTCTATCAGAGCCTCTATGCTACTTAAGAGAATGTAAATAACAATGTAGCTTTCTTTGGAATTAGAAATCTTGTTTGAAAGGGCAAGTCAGGTTATTGTCTTTTTTTACATAAAACATTTTTGTGGACAGTTTTCTTCAAATATGCGTAAAGACATTATTTATAACCTTGTTTTCCTCTGGCCCATGAAACTGCATTGGCAATTGGCGTTTTCCCAGAAAATACAAGCTAATTAGACTTTTCACACATTTCTAAACCAATCAGCACTGCTAAACCAGAGGAGAGTGTAAATACTGGATGCCATTGGAACTGAAGACAGATTTGTGTAATATGGAGCCCCCTGTTTCACTGTAAACAATTTAAGAACACGCTGGTCTCAAACTTTAAGTTCAAGGAAAACAGAAGTTTTCAGGATGTTCTAAACTGAACAAGAGCTGTCTATAAAAGACACCAAAATCCCAGAAGAGGAAAAAAGGGATGTGAGAATAGTGATATCTCAACGGTCTCCAGCAGAGCCTCACCCACCCTCTACTTCTGAATAAAGATTTTGGACATGGTAAAAAGCTCCAAGTGCATTAATGCCTCAGGTCCTGCTGGTCCTAAGGACCTACAGATCTGGGTTAGGAAGGTATAAATACTCACCAGATACTCAATAAGCCACTGTATTTTGTTAGAACAAGCACAGTTGACAAAGTGAAATTGTGGTAATTTGTCAGTCTTTTTAACAATAAAGTTGACAATGAGAGAATCTAGTAACTTTCTGCCAGCAATTGTTAGATCTTTTTCATTATTCATTGAGGGACAACACATGTACAATAAAGTACATGAAGAGCACAAAACTTAGGCTCTATGATTTTTTAAATAAAAATTTTTATTTATTTATTTATTTATTTATTTATTTTTGAGACAGTGTCTCAAGCTGCCGCCCTGGGTAGAGTGCTGTAATATCACAGCTCACAGCAACTTCAGACTCCTAGGCTTAAGTAATTCTCTTGCCTCAGCCTCCCAAGTAGCTGGGACTACAGGCGCCTGCCACAGTGCCTGGCTATTTTTTTGTTGTTGCAGTTGTCATTGTTCTTTTAGCAGGCCCAGGCCAAGTTCGAACCTCGGTGTATGTGGTGGGCACCCTACCCATTGAGCTATGGGTGCCACCCTTTTTTTTTTTTAATCTTAAAATAAAAATTACATTTCACGGCTCAGTGCCTGTGGCTCAAGTGGCTAAGGCACCAGCCACATACACCTAAGGTGGCAGGTTCGAATCCAGCCTGGACCCGCCAAACAACAATGACAGCTGCAACCAAAAAATAGCCGGGCGTTGTGGCAGGCGCCTGTGGTCCCACCTACTTGGGAGGCTGAGGCAAGAGACTCGC